GTAATCACTTGAAACTATGAGTTTAATTTTCAAGTGATAAGAAAACATTTACAATTCAATAGGAATTATTAATTTTAATGACAAAGATTATTCACTGTTGTAAAGTCTTATTTTACTCATCAACTAGTGCTGAAGCAATCAGACCTAAGGAATAATAGAAAACATCTTGACAGGAGAGAGTCTTAAGTATTATTCGATCAAGAGAAAAGTATCACGTTTTCTCTGATCAACAATCAAGTTGATGACTTAAAATTCACTCGTACTTATTAGTATGTAAAATATCCAACCATGAAGATATGTGTTATGTTTCACCAGTAAATAAAAAGGCAATAGAACACCTTTCTAGACACCATAACACCAATCATTCAAATGGTGTTTTCCAATGTCATTCCCAGGTATTATATAATTCACTGTTATTTTATGTCATTTTCACGTTGGAATACATCATTACTACTTACCTGGTATTATTTTTGTTTGCCGACTAAATATCTGCAAAACATTTTCAGATAAATCCTATGCAGCTGTATATTATTATTGTTTTTTGTAAGGTTCTAATAGGGGAAGGTCAATTATATTTGTAATCTATTAATATGCTTCTAGGAAAGTGAAATATAAAACCCAGAACTCCACTATATCCCCACTTTAGTATTCTTAAAACATGAAGTTGTGCTTGAAGATATCACGATACTTTCAGCAACAAGATAAACGTATGATAGATCAAACTAGATTGTTATTAGGCTGTAAAAATAACTAGAAATGGCATTTGTAAAGCATGAAACACACGGAGATTCGATGACACTTATTCACAAACTTTTGTAAAATGTAGAAACCAAGAAGGAGATGAATGGGAACGATTAAAATGATTCAACTTGGAGGTTTGTAGGGATTTATTTATTGATTTCAGGTTAGCATTCATCACTAAGTAACATCAGTTGGGGAAACATTGGAAACCTGGAAGATGAGGATAGTACACCACTGACATCATTTCTGGGTTATGTAACCGAGAATCTCCAACCACTGGTTTCTGTTGTCACGCAAACACCAACCAATCTGAACCTACTTCAGCTGACATTGCGAGACGAACGGTGGCATTACTAAGCATATGTAACATATACCTCAGCTACCTGAGCCGATCAAGGCACACAACCTCATCAACTGACTATATTCTTCTCCCTACACCTGACATCTAATTTACTGACGTGGTGACAAAAAAAAAACACGCAGTTCATACTACGGAGGCAACAGTCATCAAATACCTGAAGTCTTCTCATATCCTCTACCTTTAATGGCCATATTTCAAGGCCATATATTACAGCAGCGGAGTACACTCGACCCTTGACATACCCTCGGATAATACTCTGACATCGTGAATGGCGTTAGCTGGCGAAAGCCTAAAGAGTCTTTTGTATCCGTGCAGGGATTTCGTTGGTCACTGAGTCATCAGGAATCGACTGACTTCCCAGCTAAGTGAAATGGTCAGGACACTCAACCATTTCACTCCCCATTATTAGACAGGACACCATTGATGATTGGTGCTGGAGCAACAATTTGCATTTAGGTTGCGAGAAATGTATTTTAAACTGCCATTCGTGTGTCCAGAAATCTTTGCATCTTGCCAGTGTATTCACCTAAGAGAACAATGGGGTTTGGTGTACTCTGAGCTTCGATATTTTGTCGTGAACGTTTCATCACCATACCTGGTGACATCAGCACTAACTTCGTAGAGAAGTGAAGCATATTCGAATCTTACGCGGATGTATGGATAGTGTTCTTATTGACCTTGAATTTTTTATAACTGTAAGTTGGGGAAGAAATTTTTATCACACCCTGAACTTAAATTTCCTTCAGTCAAGTCATTAGATGATCTTTGTTGTAGTGAGATTGTGTTGTTTGTTGCTGTCACACTGTACATCATTATTGATTTGTCTGGTTGAATTACCCTCATTTGATGAATGACTGTTTTCTTCTTATTTTCTTCTAGATTCACTTAGGGTTGTTCAGTCATAAAATTATTCCCTGTTACGACGAGAAGGAAACCTACATAAGTAGTACGGTAATAAAGCTGAACAAGAATAGAGAGGGTGGAAATCCTTGATGGATACCATTCTAGGTACACAACTCACCTGATGACTCACTATAGAGTGCAACACGCCAGTAAGTCTTCGAGCACTGATTTGGAGAAACAAAGGAATTTTCCTGTCTGTTGATTGCTGTTTATCCTGAAAGCTGTTCTCGTTGTATCCTATCACTTAAGTAGGTAGCATTTCCAATCAGTAACTATTACGATCCTTTCAATTCTGAATTTTTGGACAAATGTAAATCAGACTATATAAATACTCATGTCTCCATCGTTCGCCTGCACTTGCTCTGACAGATAGGAAGTGTTACATGCAACTAACGATTTCATTGAATGAACACTTACTTATTTCTGACTGATATGTAAAATTGGTAGTGTTATGAAAGTAATACAAAATTTGTGATTTGAAAGGTTTTCATCAATACTACCTTCAGTCTTTCTCAGATGTCTATGACTTCACATGCTAAAAGAATGAAAAGTGGGTTCTTTTCCACCCGTTGACATTAATTTTACTTCTACATATTCAACTGTTGTTAAAATATATTCTTCAGAGTTTCTTACCCCATCTTACAGATTAAAACATGAACGTAGACTTCTTAATTGATCGAAAAAAGTTCTAAGTACGACATTTCTGTAATTATTTCGATAAAAGGATCGGTAGTTTAAATACTTCCTGATCCAAGAGGTTGTGTAATGAATGTCTATCTTCACTATTCTATCACAGTTCCCTTGGAAACTAAGAAGTGATTATAACGTTCTGAATGTTCATATTTCATGGTAAAGCTGATGTCTAGGCCAAAATCTCAAACAATCGGAAAAGAGTTGGCTGCATGATTCGCATTCTTAGGAATTTCAAAAGTGTCATTGTACTACCGTGTATGAGATGTGATATTATTGTTTATCTCATCCCATTTGTCTCTGATTAGAACTTAAATAGCGTTATCTTTCATCACAATATGAGTCGGTTTATGGAGTTCTTTATTTAAGCATATCTGAATGCATTGTGAAGAGTGGTTTTAAATCATTTTTACAGAGAGAGAGAGAGAGAGAGAGAGAGAGAGAGAGAGAGAGTAAATCCAATTGATGACAAATATTACTAAATAGTTTCATCAACCGGAATGTTGAAGAAGAGAGATTCTTAATCGAAATATACCATGTAGTCAGGAAAATATACCACCTAGTCCAGACCATCACTGAAGTGAAAGTACTCATTCTCTGTAGAGTTTATTTACGACAGATAGGTTGTAATATTACTGTCAGCGTTCGATTAATTGAAGACGTCGCAATTGCACCATTGTTGAAATTAGTCGCTTAGTGATTCACCTTGTTATGTCTGTAGTCCATACTGAATATTAGCATATTCAAGACTTACAATGAGTGAAGTGATGCAATGAACTTAGCATATTTCATGAAATAAATTTTGTTCTTGTAACATTGATCAAGTTAAAACAGTGTACACAATATCATAAGTGTCACCTCACGGATGAAATAAATCATTTTCAACAGTACATGATCAATTCACTACTAAAATTCATAAGCAAGTCTTCTTATGTTCGGTGTCTACATTTTATCAAACTTAAAACCGTCATAAGTAGAAAAGTGGTACGTCAAACTACTTATGTATTTGACAGTAGTACGATTCAAACAGCAAAACTGAATTTATAATGTATCGTTTATTGTTGATTGCATAGATTTATCTTGTGTTCATTTATTTACTATTTTCCAATCTAGTGGTATTCATGACTATACTTAAATAATAGTGCTTAAACCACTTCACGAATTTTCGCGATATCTTCAAAGACTCATGAGTAACAGTGAAAATAATAAAGACTTTTAATGCTCTCACTGTCAACCTGAACTCGTAATGGTCTCAGAGATAGTTTCTTTACTTCTGTTGAGACGTAGACATACAAGTGCTCAAACCAACGCGCGGTCACTGTCCAAGCACATGCTGCTGAGTGAGCTACAGTCTCCCACCGAATCCCTCCAATGATGACTGACGGTAATATGGTCTATTTGTGTCCACCGATGAGTTGAGCTGGTTGGACTCCACTTCAGACAGTGACTTTCTTTGTCTGACATTAGTGCTGGCTAGGCGTAAACGGTTATCCTAGTTTTTTATAATTCTACTGCTTTTTCATTCTTTGACTTACCATATCCCTGGAATGAGTGTTAAATCAGTCCTATTGCACATTCTAGAGAATGAATCGGTGGACAGAGATTCAATAATCAAAGAGATTGGTCCTTAGGATTGCTACTCTTTCCCAACCAACATATTGTGTGGCTGTCTGTTGTTGCATGTATAGCTATGGCTGAATCTTCTCTACAGTATCTATCTAAGCAGAGTCTAACAATCTAGACTTAGTTAGGTTCCTGCCTTCTACTAACTTGACTGACACTAATGGCTAGTTTGAAGTAAATGACTGACCTAAGCCGTTGCAACTTACTTTGTAAATTGGATTACTTTATCAAATTGGTTCAGAAGAATCCTTAAACCGATAAAATTTCTTACCAGGTGAATTTTTAGGTTAGAATGTCACTCGAAACCCAGCCGTATCCAGTGTATTACTTATAGTTTCTAATATCACTTACTGATATGGCAACACAACAGAGGCGTTGAATTCCTCTATAGTCATGTCACAGTCATCATTCACATAACCACTTTTGTTTTCTTTTTCAACGTCTTTATATAATCCTGAATAAATTTATGGACATAATTATTGACAAGTAAACCTTCTCTTAAGTGCTTCATTTCCTTACTTACATTCTTCTGATTTACCTGAGAGATTCCTGATCAAAAATACTTAAACATTTAACTAAACCTAGTTGGATGAGATTGCCTAAAGTCTAAATATCTACTGAAATGCAATGGCTTTCAGCAGATACTTATATCTAAACGGTTGTCTTTTCTTCATTTTATTTTACCATCTAACTTTGTTAATTCTTCTTGTTTATCCTCTAACTCAGAAGTAAACTGTATCCCATCTACCATGGAGTTTGTGTCTGAAAAAGCTTTAAATTTGTCCGGATTACAACACAGTATATATGCCACCTACATATCTATATCACACTTTTCGGGTAGGAACAAATGTGCTATACGTTCCCAGCTGTCCATAAAATTATCTGCTACGACTGAAAGGTTGAGTTGACAATTTGTGAAATTATACGGGGATAATAACTCAGGTTGATTAGAAAGCTAATTCAAAACCTAGTACGCTATAACCTTACTCAAGGAACTCAACTACTAATCCCATCTGTATGTCGAATCGAGCTTCTAATATTGCTCCTGTCAGGCTGATATGCTCACATTCCACGAAGCAGGGAGTTTGATCGGCGGGTACTGTCCAGAATCAGAAACTTTCGGGATGTGAAATGACAGGACAGCTGACTCCTTCATCATTAAGCTATTTGCGATAGCTCGAATACTTACACGAACTTACGCTTCTGACATACTAATCCACATCTCCTCCGCCTGATCCACACTATCAGTGGGCCAGAATATCCTGGTCTTTGGGATTCTCAAAAAATGAACCAAGCACCACCTATTTTCTGTAAAGTGTATTAAATAAGTAGTGATAAAGAACTATGAATATAAGCAGGGCCATACGTAGTAACAACTACATCCAAGCTCATTCAAATCCCAATTGACATTGGCCTCGGTTAATCCAGATTAACAAGCCTATAAACGAATATGGATTACATGAAAAGCTGGTCTGTATCCAACAGTTTTCGTAGTTCACTACAAGCTTTAATTGCTAAAACGTGCTTTCTGATATTCCGCTTTGAACAGTGTTGTCTCACAGAATGCATTGCCATAAAGGACAGAAGAGTAAACGTTACCCATTCTTTCTTGTACAAGACGCATGATATCTCGTCTTCAACCATAGTTCAATGCTTAACGATTGATACTTTATGATACGGTACCATGGTGCAATTGACTCACTGTTGAACATTGATACAACACAATATTTCTATACCAGATCTGGAACCTGATAGTTATACAAAATAACAACTTAAATATTTGCTCTTGTACAAATTTACCTTTTTTCGGAAAAACAAACCTAGCATTCTCACGTCATCTAACTTATGTCGATTGTGAGTAAATGACTGAATTAGTCAGTTATTCATTATTACATGTAGAAGTGAGTAGTATTTACACAACGACAGTGGCCTATAATCATGAACCTTTCAGTGTCGAAGAAAATCGAGAATCTTCCATTCTGCAGATTTAAGTGCAGCTATCGTTAACTACACAGTTTGGTACACTGTGGCTCAGTTACACTGCATCTTATCCAATTCTCTGATTTGATTTTTATAGTTCTAATGCCGTCCCATGTGTTTTTACCCCAGGTTAGGCATCCAGATATCTATTATATGAATTAAATCTTCGGTATCACCTGCATTGAGAGCTGGTTATATATCTCAATAAAATACTGAGTATTGGTATTTAAAACCTTGTTCCGACTGAAATCTGATTTTGCTCAATGTATAAAGAGTGCTGCACTTTCATCTGAATACAAGATTTTGACATTTAAGCGGTGATAACTGAGGTCGTGCGTCCCAAGAGGACTCAAATCAGTGGAATCTAGATTACTGGTCTGATGTAGCATCGTATTGCTTATTAATGGGATAGTTTCGGAAAGTCGTGGTTCAGTTAGTCACCAGCCGTGTCTTGTGCCTCAGCTGATAGAGCATCAGGGCGGCAACCCAAGGTTACCACGACGCACGTTTTTATTGGATCCCCATAAAAATAATAGTATCCGTCTGCAAAGCCAGAACTATCTCATCAACAATCTGATTTTCTGCAAAACTGATGACTTCACGACAGGCAGTAACAACTTCGAAAAGAATTCACTACAGACATGTAGATAAAATGGGAGATATTGACACCGATAAAACCAAGTCACATGACTTTACAGATGGTGTGGAACCATTTCCATATGCCCTTTAAGATGAAACGAAATACAACTGAGCAATGATACTCAACCATGTACTCACTCATACAGCCACACCTACTTGAAAGTTATCGATACGAACTGACTGACCAAACCCTGACACACAGGAATTGTAAACCGCAACTTGCTGATTTACATCTGAACACCAACAACTCATCCTAAGTATTACGAAATATACTTTCATTTATCGACGACTACATATAACAGACACGGGAATATAATCAAAATGTGCCTGAGAACCTTCAATTGTTTTAGAATTTGTCAAGCCACAATCTTCAAATAAACTCGCTGAGACCCAGTATTGTTGAAGCATTTTCTGCCAAACAATTTCACGGAGACCAAACATTCTCAGATCGAAGGACAGTTTTTATATACATGAGGAGCTGTACGCACCGGAAATATTTACATCCTGCCATCTACAGCGAGATGAAAATAACAACGAAGCGAAATATGACTCAGGTCGATGATTGGCTTTAACTGTAAGGGCGATAGACGTACAATCCGATTTATTGTATTTTATTTTTTCATTCGCCACGACACCCTAGAATAAGTTCAGACAACCAGGGGCAACTTCTCGCAGTGAGCCCATCGGAAGAGTTTTACCAGTAGAGAAACCACTAGGGTCCTCACGAACCCACAAGGGGGAGTGATCTGTAGCGTCACACACTTCTTCAGAACCAATAGCCTAGGGTTCGACGAGATTCAACATTGACGCTGACCTTCATAGTTTTACAGGATTCGCTAAGCTGAAGGCACCCATTCAAGCATTCACGCCATTCGGCACGCTGTCGTGTTACGTTGCACTGATCGTAATCGACGCAGTTAGTCGAAACGCATCGGTATCTTGGCACGACCTCGCAAATATACTGTTTCATCCGACTACGCTATTGTGTTCTTTCTTGGTCTTGTATTTTTGGGTATATAACAAGTTCGAATAATTAGTGATTGGCCTTCGCGTCTGTCAAGTTCGCACCAGGAAAATTCCTAAAATGTCATCTGCCGAGCAATTGTCAACAGTTCTTCGGCCATTTAAACAGAAATAATTACGAATTACCTTCAAGATTAACCACTGAGGTTGAGTTCTGTCTAATTCTACTTCAGCATGATGTTAGCTGAAATTGGATAAGGCTAGGAAAGGGCTAAACGTCAGACTAAAACTAGGTAAGACTTTATGAAGTCCCTAACTGTTGGCTTGAAAAATCCAGGGTACTATCACAAATCGACCAACTACGATGAAGAACAAGGCTGGAAAAAGCTTATTCCATTTATTTACACTCAAATAATCAGCACTTAACTATTTTTAACGCCTGTTTGTAATCAAAAAACTACAACACAAGACAACTAAAAGGATTAAAAAAGGTAAAAATTACCACAACAAGCACTCATATACTACATACTATTCGGTTGTAGGATCTACATCTCCCTTTGCACTTCTATTACCAGACATCATTTGGCTAAAACATGGTTTGAACCAGTCGTAGGTTATTCCACAGTCAGACAACACTCTTTACATATACCAGGTTAGTTTTTTGAGTAGGAGATTTATACTCACATCAATTAGTGTCAGTAGTAAAAAAACCGAACTCATCATCTAATCATGAAAAGGCGAATGAAGATACACAGTCAAACTTCCATTTTGCTGTATGTATTCAATTAGTATGTGACTGTGTTACGGTATTGCGCTGAACTAGTCAGGTAAATCTTTCCGGATTTGTTAGTTCAAATGCTATGCTAGCGAATCCATTAATTCCAAAGAATAGTTTTCTTGTATTGAAATTCACCCGGTACATACGAAACACCTTTTCATAACGAAAATGAGATGGAAGTATGCCACATTCAAGTCGGATAACTTACGCAAATTCCATTCAACAAGAAGTATTAATTAGAAGGCATACACATAAGCCTACTCTTCCTGAGTAAACAAATCTAACATCTACTTTTATTTGAATTTTTACTCTTTCCTTATTCTATGTACATAAGAACATAGACATACAATTGATACAAAGAAGCGAAAATACGAAGAAAAAGCCCAGTAGAGAAAAATATACAAATGAAAAGACATAGAATAAACTGTTAGTATTTTGATGCACTAGAATACCACGACATGTATGGAATCAATAAACAGGGCGTAACAATTAAAGCAAAGCCAATCCACTCCATCTGTTTGAAAAAAAGGTGAAAAGGGGTATACATTAGATACATTTATACATATATGCATTACATGACAACTTTAAAAAGTGGAACAGCATCGATAGGATTGTCAGCACATAGGGCTAGACTACATGAAGTCGGTTACCCTCCAGTAAACAATCTATGTACCTAACTCAGCCCCATAGGAGGTTAATCACGGTCTGAATAGCTCAGTGATAACATCAACTGCAATACTGGATGACGCGGGTTCCAATCTCAGACGGGACATCAACTCCGATCACGTTGCAGACACCCCTTTCTTACGAAAACCACGAAACTTAGGTTCAGAGTGATTGCCCCCATCTAACTAACAACAAGCAACCACTGAACCACGGTAAAACGAAGACCAATCATAAACGAATTGGGGACTGATACAACTGAAGTGTCAGTAGTGTTAACCGAAGTCTACTTGTCAATCCTCAGTGCTCAGACTAGAATTATGCAAAAACTAACCCATAAAGTATAGATATAATATACATATCGGAAGTTAAATTTCTATGCTTAGGTTATTTCAATTTTGAGGTTTGTGAAGATTTATTAATTGAAATTTATCATGGACTGATATTCCTCGTGTGGTCATGGGTGAGCACTGCTGAGGAGTCCCATACTAGACAGAAACAGCTGTTCACTTCCCGATGCTCCTCCAACTGATATCAGTCCACGATGAATTCCAATCTGAAATCAATTAATAAATCTCCACAAACATCCAGATTGAATTTATCTGGTGCTCATTGGTGACTAGCTTCGAGAGGTGATTCCCGAATTTCCAATGAGAAATCATGACTAGTAGAGTCAACTAAGTCGAACATGAGGACAGTTACTCAACGACAACATGGATGGAGGTCACGCTATAGCGTGAACTGATGTAAGTAGGAAATTTGAACCACTGAATACTGACCCAGTAGCCAGTTTAGGTTATTTCTTAAGAAAATATTTCACGAAGTAGTTTTTGGAAATATTTTGGGAAATAAATTATTAATCTTAAGAAGATCTTAGTCATTGCTAATAAGCAAACGTTGCTACAATCAGTCGAGTCACTCAGTGATCTCTATCCTCCAACTTTCACAGAAAATACATATGAATTGAAAAAAACCCGAAGTAGGTAATAGAAACCTATTCTGATTTGATGCTTGATCGGAAATCTCTTATTATGCCAGCTTTAAATTAAAAGTTGGACTGATTGGGATATCTATCTGAAGAGTAGTAACTGAGAGAATTTCGGCAGTAAATTGCTAGTAGAAAAGGGGGAATATTCACCTAAGATGAAGAAAAAACCAGCTAAAATAATGCAGTTTTTGATACATTCTACTCATAATCGATCGACTTTAAGATAGACTTAGTGGAGAGTGAATCTGTGAAAGGCGGGTAAATTTTCAGTTCGAACCACAGACATATTGAGATTTTAGAACACACAATCCTAAAGCAATGAAACATGTTACATGACTTTTAGAAAGAATTTACACTACGTCCCACATTGTTTACCAATCCACTTACAGTAGGCTAACAACATAGTTCAGTTAGGCTTAGATGGCTAAAACGGAATCAACTGAGCATAAAGTTGAAAAAGTATGGAGTGTTTCAAAATGGCACTTCTAGACTACTCTCATTTCGCAGAGGCTAAAGTGGCTGAATCCACTGACCTACCTGACTAATTACAAAAGTCATGGGGTATTGGATGAGTAACCAGAGGGAAATCCAGAGCCCATATAAACCCTTAGTTAGCTAGTTCTGCCTATAGCTCAAGCCAAATATCCAAAAGCTTACTAAAAGTTGTCTACTATACAACACAATGTCTATAAACACAGTTGTTGGCAATTGAAGATACGAAAAACTCACTTTCACGCCATAGAAATACAGCTAGCTCCAAGCACCGATAAATGTCCAGTACCCAGTAGAGGGTGAATATCTGGTCGATACACTCACGATTAGGTCTGGAACCTACCTGATCTCAACATCGTGGTTGATGTCAAGTTCCCGAGCTTTACTTAGATGTCTGAAGAATAGAAGCCATGGAATCTAGGATACTGCCCTTGCCACATGGATTGTCTTGTGGTTACCAAAGGAGAGTTCTCACTCTTGAAAATTGGGACAACCAGTGATTGAGACTAGTCGCACAGAACCATATCTGATTTCTATACGCTAACAAACACTTTTCTTAATTTAACCAATTACGTCGACTACCGTTCTTAAATATCTCCAGTATTATCCCATGGAGGCCTGCTGTCACTCGGTTACGGTAACTTACAGCCCTCTCAGCTCCTAGAAGTGTCAGAAGGCCTGTCTCAGTGTTCCTTTCAGGATCCGACTATGTAACAGGCAACACAATATTAGCTGAAGGCCAATTGAACTGTTCTTCAAAATGTTCCATACATCGTTCCAGTTCTCATTTTAAGATTGATCTCTTAGTACAAGGATACTACAAATCCTATCAGTGCTGCTGTAACAATTTTCACATTTTTTCAGTTTTTCACTTTAATAACTATGTTGGTACTCACTGCTATTCTTAGTTTGATTTTCGCTCTTGAATTATCCTAATTATCACGTAACATAAGTTATAAACAAAATAAAAGTGAAAATTAGCAACCACTAGATTACAAGCCATAATCCTTGTGAAGGTTAGTAATACAACGTGATAAATGAAATCGTTCTGACTATCAATCCACTTGTTGTCAGTTAAGGGTCTAGGCGCCTAGGTCAGTAAGACTACCTATACCTAACTGAATAAAATTACTGATGTAAAATTTGAAGAATGTTGTTTAAAAAAGGGCTATTCAATCTCTAAGTTCAACAAATCTCGATAGAAGATAACAAAAGCATTTTCGGATTCTCACTAGCTCCAACACAACTTATTCTGCATCATAAATATAAATTTCACTAACCGTATGGGCAGCGAAACGCTTGTTGTACTCCTTTACTTTGTAGATCGTAACAAGGCCAGGTGCAGAAGAATATAAAAGCTGTAAAAAACAAAAAAAATTGTGCTTTCTAACTCAGTAATGAATTATTCATTCATCCACTAGTAAAAATCAGATAAGCATAGAAGAAATAGAGATTTGAATACGGTTTCTATCATAATAGACGCATATCAAACAAATATCGTAAACGGTGTCCTTTCTTCTTGGTTTAGTACGCCTAACCCTGAAAATCCAAACTAACTGTTCATGTATTCTTATATTCCATAAACCAAATGAAAAACGGCTACATAGATCAATGCTGTCCTAATATTAGCCTTCTGCAAGCTATTGTATATCAACAAAATTAAAATTACTTGTAGGAAACTAATAACATCCCATGTATGTGCTCATTTTTAGTGGTAAGGTGTTGGAAACAATCAAAAAGTTCTCTGTTATTACTAATGATATGACGTGAGAATTATATGTATCGAGTCAGATGCATTGTATTGATTAGAGTCAGTTGTGGTATTATGAAAGTGGATCAAGAGTGCAATACAGGTAGACCCTATTTTGATAAAAGTCATTGAATGCTAAATAGCTTTTTTATTGGACCAGAGACGTCTTTGTAGAACTGTAACATATAGATAGCTGCTATGCTGAAGTGGTGGTCGGGCTCGTAAATCCCTGAGACCTAAAAAACCGGCACTGATTGGGAGGCTCTTTCGCTTGAGATCCTACTATACCAAAAAGGTCTGCTGTATAGTAGTAAAACAGAGAGCAGTTACAGACATAGCGCAAACAGCTACGTCATGATGGGAGTCCTAGGGTGGAGTCGTACTGCTGACTGAACGGCATGGCATTAAGGTATTTCGCACAGATAACCAACAGTACTGTGTTGGTGCTGCCTTCCTTATGGAGAGGAGGAGTACAAAAGTCAGCCCCAAATATAACACACTCTTCTCTGCTAAGGTGTTCTGGTGCAGATGGTATGCGTTTTACTTGTTCGGCGTTTGCACAATGAAATCTCGACTCAAAAATCCTAAAAAGTCCATCTGTGATATGCTTCAAGCAGATGTCCCATGAGCTCTGCGGTCACGCAAAATTATTCCTCTTCCTGCTTCAGATACCTTGCAGAAACAAATTCCACAATGAGGGCGACCGGGAAGTGCCAACCACCCACACACTCCTAGTAGTACACAACATTTAACCAACCGTCAGCTACCCTCCTCACTTTTGTTTCTCCCTTGTTTACACTTCCTGATATCGATATTAAACTCGTGATAACTTTTCGCTGTGACCATTGCTAGAGATCCAAGTCAATCTCAACTAGATGCTTACACTATAGGATTGGTTTAAGCACTTGACTTTCCGTCAAGGGATCTAGTTTCAAATACCGCTCCACTTACTTAGATCTGGATAACCATAAGTCGTCAAATCCCAGCGTATAGAACCCCGTAGTAAGTAACTGTAGTGTTTTCATTTTGCAAGGTCATATTAAAGATGAAAATGTTAACAGCTCATTCAAAATGGAATTGGTGGGATAGACAGTAGAATATAGTAGTGATTCTCATCCACAGGCAGCTTTTTATAATTTCCAATTCACTTTCAGAAATAAAAAAGATCAAGAAGCAACCATCAGAAAATGAGGAAGATGTAACTGGGTCTTAATGGATTATTCGTAACTAATGGGTGCATGTCGATTGAGGACAATTTGGTAAGCACATGCAAATTGGCGGCAAAGTGAAGCATACCTAATGCATACGGGGAAATGGTACCATTTTATCGCTAAATTCCTGTGGGTGTAGTAGCTTTAAAAAAGTCACACCATTTAAAGTTGTCGAAATCCGTGAGCCACATCCCCAGATGAGCAGTTAAGAATTAACAGAATACATCGCAACCTTTCTTTAGGATTTATGAAACGCTGAATGGGAAGGGAAACCAGATACAAGATCAATACAACTATGGTTTGTTTAAAGCCTAGTCAATTAGTACATATGCACAAGGCTTTAAACTGAAATCTAGTGTTAACTGACATCCAAAAATTCTACTTGAACTAGTGAGCAGAATAACGCAATCACCGTCGCAATATTCCTGATGACGTTTCTGAATACTATTCAAAATTGATAACATATTCACTTATCTTGATTAATGTCCACAACTAGTTTACCCAGCGCTTAGGGGATTCAACCGGTAATTCTTAGTAAGTGAAGTCAATAAACATTTCTATAACACTAACGAACAGAAGTTCAGGATACCAAGTGCAATATTTAGTTCGTTATCAGAAAAAAAGGAACTTACGACATTCCTTTGTGGGTCACTGGACCTGTAAGTGATTGTAGCACTAGAGAAGTTGTGAACACCGCTAATTCGTGGCACGAGGACCAAGACATGAGTAACATTGGAAGAAGCAGGTATTACAGACCAGCGTGCAGAAGGACTACCATGAATCTGTGTGAATTCCGTTTCAGAAAAGACATCGAACAGTTCAACATCTCTCGCAGCTCGTCTAAGTAAACAAGAAAAAAAGGTGTTTATTAATTACAACGTGGAAAACTAAATCAATTCAACAATACCCTTCAACGCTTAAGCTGTTTAACCTAAATTTGATGTACACTAATGGGGAAATAATGAATGGAACACACCTACTGTATCATAGGGAGAATAAAAAACTTGAGCGAATACTTATTTCTCGTTCAAGTTGGACATCACATGTCTGATTATGACCACAAGCTAAACCGGAAAAAAAAATGCGAATGATAGACGCATACAACAACTAAAATGGCTCGTCAAAAAGCTAATTAACCACATCATAGGAACTGTAAAAATATATCTTTCAAACACGGGAAACTACTCACGACTCATGGAAGTTATAAATCGTGTAAGCAATGGTCATTTCTTTCTCCTCAAAGACGACTTCATTCAATATTTCTTTGGAAACTGCCAATCTGACATTATCCACAGGTTCAGAAGCTACCAGAACTACCAAGCAAATACCTAGCAGAGCCTCACAAAACGTCATCATGTTGCGCATCTTTCAAAATACGCTGAACAATCTCATTTTCCAATGACGTGGCAGTGGTTTTGGTCTTCAGCAGTGTCTATAGGGGACCAATGGTTTTGTTAATTTTCGCAGCAAGTGGTATTCCAAAGATACATTTTCGCTTCAGAAGTAGCAACAGAAGGTTCATAGACAATGTGCTTCGGTGGAGGTTGGTGACAGTTCCTAATATCCAATATCCAATATCTGTTTAACGAGGTTGTATAAACCAGTCGATTTCTTCTTGCCCGCTTCTCGGTCTTGCGGAACGGTTCCAGGTCTTTAGTGGACTCCCATGCAGTAGATCCGGCCACTCGTTTGCTAAAGCTCTGGTATACAGAACAGAAGGTTGTGTAGCGTCATACACTTCCCCAAAATCAATAGCCTAGGGTTTGACGACTTCGACATTGATGCTGACCTTGATAGTTTAACTGGACTCGCTAAGCTGAAGGCACCCGGTCAAGCATTTGGCACGCTGTCGTGTTACGTTGCATTGCTCGTATTCGACTCTCTAGCCAGTTAGTTGGAACGCATCGGTATTTTGGCATAACCATCCAAATATACTATTCCATCCGACTACGCTATCGTGTTCTTCCTTGGTCTCGTATTCGTGGGTATATAACAAGTTCGAATAATTAGTGATTGGTCTTTGCGTCTGTCAAGTTCGCACCAGGACAAATCCTAAATTGGTGAGCCCGACGTGATCAAATATCCCAACGTGATCACATATCCCGACCAATAACAAGTATTGAATTGGTGAGCCTGTTCCATTTTATATTTGTTTATTGTTTTCATTTCGATAACATTTATATATCCATTTACTACACTTTCTCATGTCCGACCACACTCCCAAGCTTATTCGTATTAAGCCGACCTCGAACACGATCCAACTCGTGCCATATTGGCCAGACAATGCAGAAACATGGTTTCTGTATGCCGAGGCCGATTTTCGAGAACAGGGTGTCTCAGATCCTCAATCTCGATTTCTTGCTGTCATACGTTCACTACCGCGAGAATTAAACAGGTTGTTACAGCAAACATGTTTAATCCTGAAGTAAGTGACCCTTATGCACTTCTAAAGGCCGCACTCTTGAAGAAAAGCGATCTCACAGATCGCCAACGTCTAGACGAATTGCTTCGTAACATCGAGCTAGGCAGCCACTCAGCTACTGAAGTCCTCGCACGCATGCGAGAAGTAATCGGTGCACGAACATTTGACGATGGTTTCTTCCGAGAACTATTTCTCTCGAAACTACCACAACCGGTGCAAACCGTGTTGGTGACACTCCAGTCAGTCCCACTCGACGACCTGGCAGCCTCAGCAGATAAAATACTGGAGATATCCAGCAGACCCGTCTCCAACGTATATTCTATCTGTGACAAAACAGAGCGCCAGGATTCGGAGGTGACCAAGTTGTGCAACTCTGTGAAACGGTTGCTACGATCTCGAAGTCCTAGATCACGTAGCACTTCACAGAAACGCACCTTGGCGCATCGCAGCAAGTCGCGTGGTAGCCCTAAAACGAAACCCAACAGGGTGGAAAACCCTGAATGGTGCTGGTTTCATAACACTTACGGGGATGAAGCCAGAAAATGTCGTAAACCATGCCGTTTTAAGAAGGACACAAACTCGGGAAACGGTCACGCCGGCACGTGCTCACGGCAACCGTAGCCGGCGGAAAAAGCCGTTTGCTCTACGTCACCGACATTAAAACGAAAGTCCGCTACCTCGTCGACACCGGCGCAGAAGTTAGCGTTCTTCCAGCAACGACAAAGGAGCGTCATCTCGACCCATCCTTCAATCTTCAAGCAGCCAACGGCAAGGCAATCGCGACATTCGGGAGACGGTATGCCTACCTCAACTTAGGTTTACGCAAACCTATTCACTGGATTTTCCTCCTGGCAGACGTCTCTATGCCTATCATTGGCATAGATTTGCTGAACCATTACGATCTACTCGTAGATGCTCGCCGTCGACGACTGATAGATAACAACACAAAGTTATCTATTGGCGGCACCACCTATGTAGGTCCGAGTTTAGCCATCGTTAGGACTAAACAATCAGGCGACGCGTCCTACCAGGCAGTTCTGGAGAAATATCCAGAGTTACAACAACCGAAACACACTCTTCCGTGCATAACCAGCAATGTTATGCATCACGTCACAACCACAGGTCCACCTGTGGCATCCAAAGCTCGCCGTTTAGCCCCCGATAAGCTGCAAACGGCGAAAAATGAATTCGACCATATGCTCGAACTGGGCATTATCAGACCGTCGAACAGTCCTTGGGCATCGCCATTGCACATGGTGCCCAAAAAGGATAGCAACGACTGGCGTCCGACCGGTGATTACCGAAGGCTTAACGCCAAAACAACTCCGGACTGCTACCCTATACCCCACGTTTACGACTTGACCGCAACCTTATGCGGCATGAACATTTTCTCGAAAATCGACTTGGTCAAAGCGTACAACCAGATACCTATGGCAGCAGAAGATATCGCGAAAACAGCCATTATTACTCCTTTTGGCCTGTTTGAATTCCTGCGCATGCCTTTTGGTCTTCGGAATGCAGCACAAACATTCCAACGCTTTATGGACGACGTCTTCCGTGGTCTGAATTTTGTTCATGTCTACATAGATGACTGTCTAATTGCGAGTCCAGATAAGGAAACACACCTTAAACATTTGGACCTCGCATTCGAAAGACTCAAAAAACATGGCATCACAGTTAACTTACAGAAGTGTGAAATAGGAGTTGAATCACTCAGCTTCCTTGGGCATACCATTGACAACAAAGGTATACGCCCATTGAGAGATAAAGTGGCGGCTATCACAAACTATCCAGAGCCGACCACTGTGAAACATCTCCGCACTTTCAATGGCCTGGTAAGTTATTACCGAAGGTTTATCCCTAACTGTGCCTCTGTCATGAGACCACTCACAGATCTACTTCGAGGAACTGCGAAGTTCGTGTCTCTGGACAACGCGGCTAGACTTGCTTTCTCCAAAGTCAAGGAAGCCATTTCGAACGCAACCATGCTTATGCATCATGACCCCAATGCTCCTCTGAGTATTGCTGTTGATGCATCTGATTCAGCAATTGGAGCAGTTTTGCAACAGTTGACTGACAACCAGTGGCAACCGTTAGCCTTTTTCTCGAGGCGGCTGCAAGACGCGGAAACAAGATACAGTACATTTGGTAGGGAACTCCTAGCCATGTACTGTTCTGTACGCCATTTTCGACATTCTGTGGAAGGTCGTGATTTCATTATTTTCACAGACCACAAACCGTTAACGTTTTCCCTCAGCTCGGCGTCTGACAAATACTCCCCTCGTGAGTCGCGACAGCTGGATTACATTTCCCAGTTCACGTCAGACATCCGCCACATTTCTGGAGCAAACAACTCCGCAGCCGACGCACTATCTCGAATAGCTTCGATAAACTATATCGAGGGTATTGATCTCGTTGAACTAGCTCGGCGTCAAAAGGAAGACCTTGAGCTGCATCATGAGTTGTCGTCCACAACTCTCAAACTGCGACTTTGTCCTGTTGGATCAGACAAGGATACAATTTTGTGCGATGTCTCTGCTAGTCAACCACGCCCAATAGTTCCGAAGAGTTGTCGACGCAACGTCTTCAATACGTTGCACAAACTCTCTCATCCAGGTGTACGAGCCACCATTAGGCTTATCGCACAACGTTTCTGCTGGCCTGGGATGAACAAAGACGTTAAGGAGTGGGCCCAGTCGTGCTTAGCTTGTCAAAAGTGTAAAGTCACGCGACACACGAAAAGCCCTTTAGGCTCATTTCTAGCCCCAGACATGCGTTTCGACCACGTCCATATAGATATTGTAGGACCCCTACCAGAATCTAATGGATGTACCTACCTTTTCACTTGTGTTGATCGTTTCACACGATGGCCGGAAGCAGTACCCATTAAAGATATTACTGCCGAAACAGTTGCTCGTGTTTTCGTCGAAAGATGGATCGCGAACTTCGGATGTCCATCCTACGTCACAACCGACCGTGGGCGCCAATTTGAGTGTGGACTATTTCACGCTCTAACGGCACTTTTAGGTTGCACTCGGTTCCGAACGACAGCCTACCATCCACAAGCAAATGGCATGGTAGAGCGTTTCCATCGACAGCTGAAAGCTTCCCTTTCAGCTACAAACATACCTCAGTGGACCGAGGCTCTGCCTCTAGTCCTACTAGGTATTCGTAACGCGTTGAAAGTTGATGCTGGATGCACTCCTGCAGAACTCGTCTATGGGACCACTCTTCGCCTACCAGGTGAGTTTGTTTCCCCTTCAACTTTCAAACATGTTTCCGACAGGGCATCTTACGTGACTAGGCTTACAAACGCAATGCGTTCAGTTAGGCCTTCTCCGATTAGACCGCAAACGACTGATGTTTTCGTCCACCCCAGTTTACAGAAGACATCACACGTGTTTGTTCGCCACGACGCTGTTCGTCGACCACTTGAACCACCCTACGACGGGCCGTTCAAAGTGATTAAGCGACATGAGAAATTCTATGTAATTGAGCGAGACGGACGTGAAGATACTGTCAGTATCGACCGTTTGAAACCAGCTTATTTCGAAGGCAACCCCATTGTAAGTGACGTTTCAGCTCGCTACATCCGACCGACGGATGACTCAATTATCGAAATTCTCGACGATGTGCCTGGTAATGCACAGCTGCAACAACCAGCGGCGCAACAAAAAACACGATCAGGTCGAACCGTCAGGTTCCCAGAGTACCTGAAGTCATATTCAACTTAGCTGTGTGTGTGCCAACCATTTTTTTCTTTTTTTCGAGGCACTATTTTTCTTATTTACCGGCAATGCACAAACCCTCGTACACTTTGCCTTTTTATATCAATTTTTATTTACCATGTAATAAAAACTAAAAAAAACGGCGAAGATAAGCGTAAATTTTTATTTTTCGACACGTTTATATATAAATAATTCCCATTTTTACGCAACGTTTTCGTGGTATTAAAGACTTTTATTTATATTCCAGGTGCAACGAGCACTGGACGGAACGTCGAAAGGAACAGATGACCGCGACCGACGTACAATTTCATTTATTGTATTTTATTTATTTAATCGCCACGACACCCTAGAATAAGGTTCAGACAACCAGGGGCCACCTCACGCAGTGAGCCCATCGGAAGAGTTTTACCAGTGGAGAAACCACTGGGTTTTTACTTCCGGCTGGTATCGT